ATTTATCCTCAAACCAGGTATATATGTATATCTATGATAATATAAGGTATTATGAATTATGATTAATAAACAATAATAACTAATTATAACTAATAGCGTTAGAATTGTCCACTTCAATATTTTTAAAACATGCATATGAGTATTCATGCTAAGAAATTAAGGAAACAACTTACCATATGGACATATCGGTTRTCTATCAAATAAAAACATATTTAAATGAAATCAAGTAATTTTAACTTATAAAAAAATAGTTGGGAAATATAAATATGATTAATTGTTATACTTAATTTCTTGAATTTGTAAAGGTGTGGYTAATGATAAATTGTGTAGAAGATTTAAATGCGATTATGAACTTCTTTACATGGAAAATATTTTGAATCGAGACGCTCCTCTTTATTACGAAGAAAAGGATGGATGTCCTATCAACTGGTTTCAATGTAAGTTTAAAATATATGAAATTGATAATTGGTTATTAGTTATCAAAAATGATTTGTTAATTATTAAATAATATGTATATTATTATCATATTTTCTAGCTGAATACGAACACGATTTTGGTACTGTCGAAGTATCTGAAACCATTAATTCCAGTAGTTATGTGTGCAAATTTGGGAATCTTAGTGTACCAATAGGACAACAATTAAAGATTGATCGACTTTCAATCGAAAATTCTGAATCAGATACACATAAAACAATATGTACTTGTGATATCCCTCCTTTAATAACTTGCATTACAGGTAGAAAACATGTTGTGTATGATAAATATAGTATGAATATACTATAATATAATATTGTATTATAAATACATAAATAAATATAAATAGAATGAGACGATAATTAAATCTTTATTTATATTAATAAGTTAACTATTTTTTTGAAGTATTCATAAATTATAATTATAATTTACATTAATATATTTATTAAATTGTTTAATGTTATTTGGAAAACTTAATAAAGAAATATAAAATAATCAGTTTGGCTAAAATGAATCTGAAAGTACGTTTTTATGATAAATTGTTTTTAAAAATATTTTCGTTTCATAATATAAACATTATAAACTCAATGATAAAAGTATTAATGTAAATTATAATTATAATTTACATTAATATATTTATTAAATTGTTTAATGTTATTTGGAAAACTTAATAAAGAAATATAAAATAATCAGTTTGGCTAAAATGAATCTGAAAGTACGTTTTTATGATAAATTGTTTTTAAAAATATTTTCGTTTCATAATATAAACATTATAAACTCAATGATAAAAGTATAATTACTTATATTTTATTGGTATAAAAATAAGACTAACCTTAGAATTTTTAAGTAAGTTTTAAAATATAACAATAACTCTCATACAAATTGAATACAAAATCAAATTATAACACTCATCCAAAGCGAAGCAAAAATATTTTCACTCGGAAAATACATAAATCCGACTTTACTACAAATTAACAATCAAGAAATCAATTGGAACGACAAAGACGATTCAGTAAAATATCTAGGCCTACACTTCAATGAAAAACTAAGCTGGATAATCCACATTAACAAAAAATTAAACCATGATGGATACACTAGGCTGCGAATACTGTACAGAGGGTCCAGGGGGTACCCTATTAAATCGTAGCTATACTATATAAATGAAATGTTCTCTCCTCCTATACACAGTAATTATAAGATTATTACTAACCTACGCATGCTCAGTATGGGCAGCTGTCTCAAAATAAAAAWTACAAAATTATAAACCCTCCAAAATAAATTCCTAAGAATAGCCCTAAAGGCCCCTTGGTTTATGAGAAACAAACAACTACAGAACAATACGGGCCTACCACATCTATCAACCTGGATAGCATAACAATTTAAAAATTTCCATGAAGAAATTCACTAAGTTGACGGAGGACTTCACCACAAAATCGGTAGAAGATCCGCCAATCTAAGACTCAAACCTCGGTTACCTCAGAATATCCTACTAGAACCCAATGAAAACACTTCAACCTCAGATTCTGACCTAGACTCATAAGCTAACCAAAATTTAAAAATATTTCATTAAATTTAAATTCTGTTATAAACAATTACATTATCAATTATAATTATAATAACTATATATTGTAAAACATTCTAGAAATACTTWGTGTATTGACACAATTAAATAAATAAAAAAATAAAAAAAATAATTATAACACCGCAACAACTAGTTGCTGTTATATATAGTTATTCATTCTACATCCGATTGTAGATATTACAAAATACTTAGTAAAAATGCAAGTCATTGTTTCAAATAAAGGTATTTATAGCCACGTTTGTAATAATATTTTACAGCATACTACACAGGATGGCGCCACATAATTCATTCATATTAGTTGCTAAAAAAAWTTATGAATTAAATATTATTTATTATTTAAAAATATTTATTCGAAAAAATGGCTAAGCATAAAACCTCACTAGGAAAAATACGACATATCGTATGTTAATAAATATACAAATCGTATATCGTAAATATATATAAATCGTATGTAAAATATAAAAATATAAAAAATATGTATATAATTATAATATAATATATATAAAAATCGTACGTTATGAAAGAACTTTCGATTGTTATAATAATTGTTACATTTCTCTAAAAATTGGTATTTTAAAATAATGTTCTTTATAACATTTTTACAATATATACGTAAAATGTCCAAGGACGTGATATAGRTAGATCCAATGATATATGATATAATGATTACGTATATCATATATCTGTGATAATTATCATAATTTGTAATCAATTGCAGTTCTTGTCTATAGTTGTTAAACAAGTATAAATGTAAGACATAACATAGTTTTTTATTTTAAACCTAAGATCGTCTAATCCGGCGTAGGGAAAGTGGCGCCCCCATCGCCCAGTACATCGCATGATGCACTGCAATAGCCACCACAACGATCTGAAAAGGTCGAAGTGGTCTGGTCCTCCAGGTTGGGGGTTTGGCGACGGGCTAACAACCCGTCCCAATAAAAGAACTACTGTTAAGAAACCACADCCAACTAAGCCTCGGATACACGTATTACCTGGAACCCCTTTTGGAAATGGAAAACGGAAATGTAAGGAGATAAAGATTGCGACTTGGAACACGCTGAGCCTGTATCGGCTGTATCGCACTGGAGCTTGTCATAATCTAGTTGATGTACTGAAAAAGTACAATGTCACAATTGCAGCACTTCAAGAGGTGAGGTGGACTGGTACAGGCCAAATAAAAATAAATGATTATACAATTTACTATAAAGGAATAGATGACTCRCACCAGTTTGGTGTGGGTTTTGCTGTAAATAAAGATTTCGAGATGTGTGTAAAAGAATTTAACCCAGTATCTGAACGCATATGCACGATAAGGCTGGACACAAAACCACTAAACACATTTATAATTAACATACATGCTCCCACTGAAGGGAAAGAAGACATARTAAAGGAGGAATTTTATGAAGAAATAACGGAGATTTACGATAGAGCACCAAAAAMTAYGGTGAGAATTGTTATTGGGGATTTTAATGCCAAAATAGGTAGAGAGACCATCTATAGACCTACAATTGGATTCCACAGCGCTCACGAACAAAGCAATGATAATGGATAGAGAAGTATAGCTTTTGCAACCTCAAGGAACATGACCGTAAGCAGCACTTTCTTTCCACACAAGGATATCCACAAATATACGTGGAAATCACCTGATGGAAACACATTTAACCAAATTGATCACGTGGTCATTGACAAAAGATTCAAATCAAGTATTTCGGATGTAAGAAGCTATCGAGGAGCGGACTGTGACTCAGATCATTTTTTGGTCATTGCGAAATTCAGAATTAAGCTGAAAAAGGTGCAAAAAACAAATAATAGAATACCAAAATACAATATAGAAAAGCTTAGAGAAGAACGAGAAAATCAAAAATACGTCGAATCTCTCACAGAAAAGTTAAGGGCAAATCAGACGGACAAGCTGGAAACAAGTGATAGATGGACTATTATAAGAAATACTATAACCGAAGCCGCAAGTAAAACACTAGGTGAAGCCAGAAAGCAAGCAAAGAAATGGTATAACAATGAGTGCCAAAATGCAGTGCTAAAAAGAAATGAACGCCGTCAAAACTATCTGAGAAATCTTTCAGCAGAATCCAAAGAACTATTTGAGACAGAACGAAAGAGATGCAAACAAGTTATACAGAGGGAAAAAAGGAAGTATATGAACGAGATCATACAAAACGCAGAGCAGGATTACACACAAGGAAGAGTTCGAAATTTCTTTACAGCAATAAAAAGACACCAAAAGTACAACCCAACATTAAAAGCCATAAAAGATAAACATAATAGAATATTATTGGACCCGCAAATGAAAGCATCGAGGTGGCAAGAGTATTTCGAAGAGCTGTTGAATGGAGAGATACCAGCCACACCAATACCAGCATGGGAAGATCAGAGAGCTGAACAAGAAGTTAAGGATATATCATTAGAAGAAACATTAAGAGCCATAAACCAACTGAAAAACTGGAAAGCCCCCGGGTCAGACGGGATACCAGCTGAACTTATAAAGTATGRTGGCTTAGAACTGCATAAAAAGATTTATGAACTATGCAATCGCATATGGAATGAGGAAATACTGCCTGAAGAATGGAACAAGGCTATAGTCATCCCGATACATAAGAAAGGAGACAASATGTGCTGCAACAAYTATAGGGGGATATCGCTACTAAATACAGTTTATAAAGTTTTTTCAAAAATTTTACTAGGACGACTAGAACCACTGGCTGAAGAGTGTATAGGAAACTATCAGTGTGGCTTTCGTAAAGGCAAATCCACAATAGACCAGCTCTCAACTATAGAGCAGCTCCTAGAAAAGAAATATGAGTACAGACAAAACATATGGCAAGTATTTGTAGATTTCAAAAAAGCCTATGACAGCATACATCGTGACAGCTTATACAATATAATGTATGAGTTCGGCTTTCCTATGAAACTCATATCACTGACAAAAATGTGTATGAACGGAACAAGATATCAAATTAGAGTGGATTGTACATTG